AGCCACGGGGAGGGTGTGGGGTTCTGTCATATTATTTGTAAGTGCGTACAATACGGGAACATAACTACACGTACTTACATTTCCAGTTTACTTCTATTTAACATCAATCAACCATTTGCATCTATGAGTGAGAAATAATGTGATATGATATGATATATTATTTCACCAATAATAACAATTCTAGTAATTTAATAATAATAATAATTATTATTATTATTATTATTATTATTATTATTATTATTATTATTATTATTATTATTATTATTATTATTATTATTGTCATTATTTCTTGGTGTGAACCACAGAGGTAGTCCATCCGAATACTAACTGGTCAGGTTCTGTAGAGCAATCAAGCATGCTCAGTTTGGCTACGCTCTTCATAATATGTTCTTCAACTGAGTTCATTCACTTTCATGTGCAGTGTTTGATGCATTGGTGTTTTCATCGTGACCCGAAATCTTTTTAATGATCCATTCGCTCTTATGGTTTTGTTTCGGTCCAGAGGCAAGCATATATTTTGAATGTAAATACCACATTAGTATAATGGTAAATCGACATTAGTATATAATACATGGGTAGTAGTGCCATTTCCATCTTGGTCTGAATAAAAAGAAAGAAACAAGGCATTATTCACTTACTCACTTACAGTGCAATACAATGAGAAGTGAAATTAATCACTATTTAAACTGATTAAATGTCGGAGCATGTTGAATCGCGCTATGCCGGATATTTTTGTATATATCTCCTATATTCTTTTCAGCCTATTGAATGGACAAATTCGTCACTGCGTTCAGCTGGCCTTGACGCTGTTTTCCAAAGCGTAGTGGGGACATGAAAAATAAATATGGCGCAATTCGGAACTTGGCGGAGGAAGATGATGTTTTTAAACTTCTCATATTTTTCATACAGATTCTGAGAAAAAAAATGTCATCGTTGAATTGCAATCACTGTAACGAGTCGTTAAATTAGACTTCTCCGACCACCGCTGTAGCGTTTTTCAATATTATTGTTTCCGTTTTATTGTAGTTTTATTGATTAGAGTTCTAGTGAAAAAAATCAACGCATTTTATAATAAAACTGTCCACACGAAGTGTAGTAGCCACCGACATGTTTATTTCTATCGTTTACGCGTAGTCTTCATCTTTCAACTACGTTAGTTTGTCACTGTATACACGTCAGATACAACTAATATCTTTGTAAAACATAACTATGGGTATATGTATATGTTCGAAAATCATTATATATTATATCCAGAAAGTTTTGCCACCAAACTGTTAACTTTAATGTGCAATACAATGAGAAGTGAAATTAATCACTATTTAAACTGATTTAATATCTGAGCATGTTGAATCACGCATGCCGGATATTTTTGTATAGCTATTGTTATTATAGCTATCTCCTATATTCTTTTCAGCGTATCGAATGCACAAATTCGTCACTGCGTTCAACTGGCCACACGAAGTGTAGTAGCCACGGACACGTTTTGTATCGTTTACGCGTAGTCTACATATTTTAACTACGTCAGTGTTTCGTTGTATATACGTCAGATAAAACTAATGTCTATGTAAAACATGATATATGATATGTGTTCGTAAATCATCTGAGTATTTATATTAAAATTTGAACCCTTCATTTAATGTGGATTTTAAAAGCGATTAGAGAGTTTCAAACGTCGGTTCCCTGCACGACGTTTTAGTAAACGTTAATCATTTTGTTCATGTGAGTCTCAGAGAAACTTTAATTAAAATCGTCGGTATGTACTTATATGTGGGTCGCTGTGGTAGGGGAAATACATAGGTCGGTAAAGTCGATATTACGGAGAGACGTTCGATTGATGGTTGAAAGAACTCTGATCTATTCTGGAAATGGTCACGCAATATATAGCGCACATGAAAGGTGCCGCCAATACAATACATTGCGCTGACCAGGTGTCGGGGATTAATTATATCAATTAATACTAGGATTGCAATAATTAAGATCAAACATAAATAGAGTATAAAGTAAGTATGAACGTAAACATAAACATACAGAGTGACGCTGTCCGCCCGACGGGAAAAATAAACGAAAACATTTTCCCACAGTCGCAGCAAGCTCTAAACGCAACGTGTTGTTGACAGTGTGCGTACACCGAAATTCCCACGATATCTGCGTATTGTGTATTAGTTTAGTGTACGATACAGTAAAAATTACACAGAGTAGATCAAGTAATCATCATTGGAACTGCGGTAACTAAGAACACCGCATGAAAATGTGTATTTCCGTCCCAATCGTTTGCCGAATCATGGAGCTAGCTCCATGGCCGGATTGACGGCATTTTCTTTTACGAAAATGCCCTTCACTTCTAGGTAAATCTGTGTTCGAATTTCCATTTGGATAAACGTCATGGTCTAAACGGAAATTGCGTAAATTTCGCCCGTTTGATACGTTTAGTGTAAACAACGGACAAAACTGATATGCCAAAATGACCGTTTTTACTTTCAGCATCAATTGGTGAGAAACTCAAGAGTTTGTCTGATTTACGTTAAATTTATTCAGCGGATATCCAGAGTTATGGGCGAACAAAAATCAATAGAAATCCGTGAAATTCATTGAAGTAGACATGTTTTTTGTAGATATTGTGCCAAAATTGTATGTAGAGTGTAGAGGGAGACCCGGAAATGAGAA